CCCCCCCAAGCGCCCAAATCCACCATGAAAACCCGAATTTCCAGCAGCCCAAATCACCATTCCCCCTCAATCACCCATTCCAATTCCAGCCGGTCGCTTCGTCAACTGGAACGCAATGACTCTCCTGACTCGTACCTCCATCCCAGAATCCAACCAGGCGAGGAAGAATGTACTGTGTCACCATCACCATCACCATCACAGTCACCCCTTTCGCATCCCCTCCCTCTGCATCCCGCCAACATATCCAGAACCCATCAACGCTGTAATCCACCGCATCCAGCAACATAAAACCAATCATCACCCCGCGCTCAAACAAAGCTCCACAGCTCTACAGCTCCTATCATCTTCATCCGAAATCAAATTTCTTCAGCATATCAAAAAAAAAAAAGAAACTCATCTTGCTCTTCCCCGAGAATACCGACGCGGACAGTTCCACAGGAAAAATGATGTACTCGCCCAAGTTCCTGCTCGCGATGTGCCTTACCGTGGGCTTGGTGACGGCTTTGCCTAGTATGTTCTGCCTTTCTTTGGGGGTGGTTGGGGCTTCATCAGGGGTTGTATTCTGATGAGGAGAATGGAGGGGGGGGGTATTGTGGGCTATGGATTGGGAAAGAGGCTGACTAGATTCGGGGTTTTGTAGAGGTGGGGTCGACCAGCGAGTTGGATGGGGATCTCTACAATTACAAGCGCGATGGAGCTGAGCTCGACGGAGATCTCTACAACTACAAGAAGCGGGCTGAGGCCGAGCTTGATGGCGACTTGTATAACTACAAGCGCGACGGGGCTGAGCTCGACGGAGATCTCTACAACTACAAGAAGCGGGCGGATGCTGAGCTCGATGGCGACTTGTACAACTACAAGAAGCGGGCTGAGGCTGAGCTCGACGGCGACCTCTACAACTACTAAAGCACCGCGCTCGACCCGGGACAGAATTGGGGAAGAGACGTGAGACAGAGGTGGAACTGGTTGTGGTTGTTACGGTGGATGATAGGGATGTGGCTTGTTGTCACGTCGTTAATGGTGATTTGTGTTATCCGAAGGAGTATCTGTCTGTATCTGTCATCAAGATGGTAGTAGACTGTAGGTACATGGACTAGAAATGTATGCAGCCTGCCAGAAAGTCGGACGATGATCACAAGCAACGTAGGGCAGTCTCGACTATACGCTGGAACAAGGACATGCAACAGCATCAGCAAGCATCCGTAACCCCCTCCTCATCGTCCAACTCCAAGTACCAAGTCTGCACCGCCGCAAGCAAAGCAATCACCCCGGACCCCCACCACGCCAACGCACTGAAATGGTGATTCTCCCCGATGCTCTGCAGCAGGCCCGCAACGGTGGGGGAGAAGGTCCGGCACGCCGCGCCTGCGCTTGTCACCAGTCCGTTCACCCGCCCCAAGATCAACGGATCCGGCGTCCACCGCTTAATGAAGATCAACAGGGCCGGGTAGCTGAACGACGAGAAGACATTGCGCACCACCAGCCAGGTCCACAGGCCGACCGGCCGCCACCCGCGCGCCGGCAGGAACGGGAGATAGGGCAGGCAAAAGTAGGCGGCCGGGTGGAGGAAGGTCATGACCAGCAACGTCCGGCGGAGGCCGAACCAGTCCGTGCACACGGGGAAGAGCAACTGAATGCCCAGGCCGATGATCCCGTTGATGCCCATCACCAGACCCACCGTCGACAGACTCAGGTCGAGGCCGCCCACCCCGCCGAGGTAGTACCGCGGCACGCTGGGATCGCGCGGGGTCCGGAGGAATATGGGCAGCAGCTGGATGTAGGTGACGGTATGGGCACTCAGCAAGCAGACGGCGCTGATCAGCATCTTGACGTTGCGGTTCAGACTCCATAGCGAGAAGTTGGGAGTAGCAGTAGCGACTTCCTCCGTCGGCGCACGAGCACGGGCAGCAGCAGAATCCGAACTGGTCTGGAGGTGCTGTCGAAGGAGGGGGGAACTTTCAGACTGGGCTGGTTCTGGTTGCTGTGATTCATCCGTGCGCTTCAATCTCAACTCCGGATGAGTCTCATCCAGAGCGCACCACGCCAACACCATCGTGAACAGAACCATCCCCGCACAGGCCAGATTGGGCAGCAAATAGGGATACTGCCGCAGCAAGGAGCTGAGAAAGTGTTCTCCCAGGTTCAGCTGCTGCTGCGCCAATAACCCCCCGAGGGCCGGACCGATTGTGCATCCGATGCTGAAAAAGAACGGTATGACAGCATACGCCCGTGCTACATTCATCGTCAGTGTCGGCCAGGATACACTCAAGATGAACCCCTCGCAGGACTCCCAATGTGTCGAATCAATCAAACCCACCTTCATGCTCCGACCGACTGACCATCTCACTCACCATGGTCTGAACCACCCCGACATTCCCATTCAAGGCGCCCCCCAGCGCTCGGGCAAGAATGGCCATCCAGATGCTGGTCGCAAAGCCCAGCACAAACATGGATAGGACGGTGCCAGCGCATCCCAGCAACAGGACGGGCTTCCTTCCGATCCGGTCGGAGAGCGCCCCCCACCAGAACCCTGTCAGCGTCTCCGCCGCGGAGAAAGCCGCCACAAAGAGCCCGGCGTAGAACGCAGCGGGGTTGTTACCGCTGTCGTTGTTGTTATCGCCGTCGCGCAGCAGATGTACCATCAAGTCATATGCGTACGGGAGGGGGGAAGTCAGAGCGACTGGCTCGGCGATGCGGCATAGTCCTGTGGTGGTTGAGGAGGACATGAGCGGGGTAGAGTTTCGCGTTTTGAGTGGTAAAGCTTACCCAGAAGGAACAGTTGCCATGTGGGGAAGTATCTCTGCTTCGTGGGTTCCATCGTTCACGTTCAGTTTTGGTGGACTTGGTAAACTTGGTAGGCTCATCCCACGGAAATGGAAGAGCTGTTCATCCATGAAAGATATACGGTATGGTAGCGGGCAAGCGGTCACGTGCAATTTGTCACTGCAACCGAAAGGAATAGCCAGGAGAATCCTGGGAAATAAAAAAAAGAAAAGAGAACGGGTGTTCGGCTGAAGAAAGGTTGCAAGGGTCAGGTTCACCCTGTAGAGAGGGTCACGCACTTCCCAAACGCCACATTAGTACTTTTACCACCACATTCCTTACCCAAACAGATCGATTATCTTCAGGAATATACTAGTAAGTAAGTAAGGATTTTTGACAACACCCCTGCAGATAAGCCAACAAGTGAAGCCTTGTAAACATCTATATATCTATCTATATAGTTATAGTTATAGTTTATATCTCTCCATAACAACCAATTTCCAGAGTTTCTGCGGCAAGAAAAATGATGCTTTTATGTGAACACATACAAGAATCAGCAGCCGTTCCGCAAGTGCGTGGCGCCTTCTATTTGCGTCAGCTTGCTTTCACAATTCACATCCACCTGCATCTTGGCGGGGGACCAAGTTCCCCCTTTAGGCAATTTGTTCAGCTGCCGGGAGGATTGTACTACCACACTACCTGTACGCCGAACCATCCATCCTTGGAGACGAACAATCCCTGGTCCTGAAACATGTAGTATAACATGTGTATAGTAACATCTAGTAGATCTAGTTATAAACATATCCCTCCAGAAAAACAAGGACTCCAACGTCCCCTTCAACGGCCAAAATCAAAATATGTAGATGGCAAAGTATTCTAGCATACTTTCACCTCATGGACAGCCAACATGTGCAAGTACAGGGTTCAGAATGGTATCAATTAAAGCCAAAGGAGAAAATAAGATCGCTGGTCGCTATGTGATGATGCGGGATCAACTGCATCGACTGTCAAAGTCTGTATGTGCAAGATATATCGTGCCGTGGCAACGTGGAATGCATAAGGGAAAAAAGGAGAATTAAACATGGTGGCCGACGAGTGAGCTTTTGGCGTTAGAGGTAAGATACGATGTCACGGAGCGATTCTCGATTGTCGGGATGCGCTGCGACGGCCGCTCGAGCCGTGTGGGCCAGGGGCCAGGCTTTTCCGCTGTTCTTGGATCGGATGCAATGGCGGCGCGATGCCTTGCCTAGGATCCATGCCTGGTTCACCCCAGCCAGGCGGTTGAGGGTCAATTGGGGAGGGAATCTTGGGGAGTGGACAGTTAGGGGGTGGAGCTGCAGGTGGCCCGATTAGTCCTGGCATGCTCTTGCGTCGGCCCATCCCGGCCGGCGGTAAGCGTGCATTGGGATCGGTCGGATACATCACTGATCCCCGCATCCGGGCGTGATCCTGACCATTTGTTTGCTCTTCAGCCAGAAGATGTAGCTCGGAAGGGGGCTTTCCGCCCACGGCGGTTGTAGGACGCAGCGTGTTAGCTGCGCTTTTCAATGGGTTCCGAGACAAGCGGGAAAGGCGATGAGTCTTCGAATCGACGCTTCGTGCGGGATCAACAAGGGAATCCTGCGAGCTAGATACTCGTAGTAGTTTGGGTGGAGACAATCCCTGAGTAGACCCGACCTGGTGCGGCTCGTTCACAGCCCCTTGCCCAAGTCCATTCATGATTTTGCCTGGAGAGTGTGGGGGAGATGGGAAAGCTAACAGAGGATCAGCGGGTGAGTCCACGTCAACAAGGTCGAGAGCAGGAGGGGCCTGCGGGAACTGCGGGACTTGCAGCGGCCCAAACCGAGCCGTGAACCGTTTGCTGAAGGAGGGTACGCTGAAGTTTGGTGCGGGTGGAGAGGTACTGCGGTAGATCGGGTCGGGTTGGGTCGACTGAGCCCGAGGAATCTCAGCCGCCAACTCCGCAGCTGTGGGCACGGTCTGCGTTGGCGACGCATGCATCGATCGTCTCTTGGTTGACCCCGAAGCTGTTGGGCTAGCCATATCCCCGGACCTGGGCACATTATCAGCGGAAGGCACGCTCGGAACACTCGATGCTGTCATAGAGTAGAAGCGTCCCGAATTGCTGATTGGGGACGTGACTTCGGTATGAGTTGTGGAGATAGACCCCGAACGAGACTCCGATGCTGGAGGTAGCACTATCGAACGGCGGTTGATGGAGACATGGGAATTCCGGCGAGACTGGTCACTGAAGCTTGGATCCCCTTCCTCTCCGGACGCAGGCAGCTGGGGTGGAATCAGCGTGGAATATCGCTTCGTATCCTTTGTGATCATTTGACGGATGCTGGGCTTGTTGTGAAGCTGGTGGCCTGGCTCCCCATCATCGGCCCTTTCAGAGATATACTTCTTACCGCCACGCGCCTCAATTTGAGCTCGGACTGCCAACAACCAGGTGTTCATGTCTTCGGGATGATCGAAGACCAGCAAAAATGTGCGTTCCATCCGTCGAGTATGGGAACGATGGAATCCAAAGCGAAATCGATGATGCTTGGTACCTTCAACGCCTTCCTCGTCCGATGATTGCGTCACTTGAAGCACGTAGTGCTTCCCAGGAATAGCATCACTAGCAAATGCCACTGATTTGGGTCCCAATTGAAGCATTTTTTCAGGCAAACGGTCGTGCTTGCCGGAGCCCGCATATTGTAAGATATAGCCGGCGGTAGCGAGAACGTACACCTTCTGCGACCATTCGGTCTTACTAATGGTTTCAGAAAGGGTGCGCAGGTGCTTTTTTCGCTCTTTCTCCTCTTTCTTCTTCTTGGTGGTTGTGTCCTCCGCGGCGTCTCCGTTCTGCGATGCCTTGCTTGATGGGTCATCTTCACGGGAGACGATCCCTTTGGCTCTTGCCGTTGCTTGCATGCGCAGAATAGTGTCCACCGAGAGAGAAGGAACCGGCAACGAATCATGCTTGATCGACTGCGGGTATGCCTGGAACAAAGGCGGTGGTTTCCAGCCTAAGTCACCTGCCGGAGGTTGATCATCGCCGGACTTCCCCCGCGATTTCGCAGGAAGCCTCGAGCGCTGAGAAGCAATTGTGGTGGGAGATGTGGGAAGTGTCGCAGCAGAGGTGTTGGTTCTCGGTGTCGCGACCAAAGTTGGTGACAAGGGCACTGCCCCTGAGTTGGGGGCCGGTTGCTCCGTGGCAGGTTTCTGTTCATCGATACCAGATAGCTTGGCCTCCGTGGCTGGCTTACGGGCCGATTTGTCGCGCCCGAAAATGTTGCGTAGACTGGATTTGGATGTCTGGCGTTTGACCGGAGCGGGTTGTAAAGGGACTCGCTCTCCTCCCTCCTCATCTGTCTGGTAGTCGGATGGCCGGGGTCGCTGTGGTCGAGTGGCTGTTACTTGTATCGGGCGCGCGGTGGGACGGCTGAAATTGGTTTGCAGCGGTGCCAATCGCTGGCCTCTGCGCTCGTTAACCGATTGTTGCGGGGAATCAATTTCGAGCGACATTCTCTGCGCGAATTCCCACAATTGCGCAGAATTTCGGTGCGGGAAGTCGGGGGATCTGGTACGAGTCGGGGTATAATTGAAGTCGGAAAAGCATTCAGCATTCGTGCCACGGCTAGGTGATGATTAAATCGAGAGATGCAGGTAAAGAATGTGGTCAAACTGGCTGGATGACTTCATCGACAGACGATGCAAGACAACGGGCGGGATAGAGCGATGGTCGGACCACTAGACGTGGATCATTCCCGTCCAAATTGTGGAGGCACCGTGTCGCATCCACCAGGACAGAGCTCAGAGCGGTACAGACGAGAGAGAACGATCGCGATAACAGGCTGTGGATACAGGACGAGCCCAGAGTGTACGACGAACAGGGAATGATTGTCGGGAGTGGGAAACTGGGTCAACAGATCACCGGGGTGAAGATCAGATCAGGAGAAATCCATTGCCGTCCGTGAGCTATAAAAGAGTCGCAATTGAAGGTCATTCGGCGAGGGAGACAGTCGAGAGCAGCAAGGATAGAACAGAATGAGCGATAAAAGGGCGAAAAGAGGGGAAAAGAAGAGGCAAGAGAGTGTGAGGGCCAGGTTGGACGAAGGGAGGGGAGGGGAGGTGGGAGAAAGAGGAAGAAAGCGTTGATGACTCGAAAAATGGCGACAAGAGAGAGGCAGGCAGGACTCGAGAGGAGAGGGGAGGGGGGGAGGGGGGGGCAGAAAGTATTGAAAATAAAATGGTCACTTATTTTGTTTGAAAGAAAACGATGAGAGAGAATGAAACTAAAAATGAAACTAAAGAGGGAACGATGGGACAGACGAACGATGGACGCAAACCCGCGTGAAACGGGCTGCAGGCAAGGATCCCAAAGTGTTCAAGGTTCCCACTGCAAGATCCGAAACGGTTTGGTGACCGATGAGCTGAGGCAGCGGACTGTCCCCCACCCCCTGAAAAGTCAGTGATTTGAGTTTCGGTCTCCTTCTGGAAGGATGATATTCGATGAGAGGATGCTCAGGACGGACGTAGAAAACAAGAGGAGAGGGAAGATGATGGGGTCGAGGGGGAGAATTGAACAGCCCGCCAGAGATTCAATTCGATCCCCAAAAAAAACAATGGCTGCTGCTGCCCCTGAATTGACCCAGCCTTGCAGGGCTCCACTTTCCACCCCATCGCGTGTAAGAAGTTGAGCGTTTGAAGCTAGAGAAATGACGACGGAGACATTGTGATACTGTGAGCTTGAAGTAGAGAGCCTCCAAATTTGTTGTCGTGTTTGTCACATTTCTCCTGCTCTTCCTGGCAGCCATTCCACAGAGAAGTGAAGATGAATGAAGCTGTCAACCTCCTCCTCCTCCACCCACATTCCGCCCATCTTATCTCTACAACCGAGGAAAGAGGGATCCGAATCCGCTGAGTCAGCCCCTTTCTGTCTGGTTCCAGACTCTGGTTGCTATTCTCTCGTTCTCTCTTTAATTTGACTTTTGTGTGTTTGGACTTTCACTTTCACTCCCTTCAATTTGATGCTGCTGGCTGGCTGGGAGTTTCATCTCCCACCTCCTGATCCGAACTTGTTATACGCGCACAACGTACAGGACTTATACAGAGTTCATAACAACACCACCCCCCAGATCGATACAAACTGAACCATCAATGGCACTTCCTCCCCTGCCCGGCCTCCACCGCCCCCATCAGTTCCGCCGCCTCGTCACAATGCTGCGCCATATCCACATCCTTGCCCGTTAGACCTCGCGGGTGGTGCGTCGTCCAGTGGATATCCACCGATCCAATCCGCTATTGAACCAGAACCAGAACCACAGTCAGCCTCTTTACTCACGTAGTAATTCTTTCCGATCTGTCCATACACCCACCCCCTTTTCTCCTCGTCGGATCGGATTCTTTCCCCCACCATTACTAGATGTCCAGACCCAGGAGGTATGGCCCCGGAAAAGAAAGAAGAACGAATGGAGTCAACAAACCCAAACACGAAGGGAGGGAAAAAAAAAAAAAAACTTACAACAGTCATAGTAGGATGATGCTTCATCGTGGCACTTTGCGAAGCAACCACATTCACAAAGCTCTACACAACCCAGTCAGCCCATCAATCTATCCCCAGCCACCCCCCATCCTTTCCCAGCTGAACACTCCGGGCCCTACCCTTTCCTTTCCCAGACAATCAAGCTCGGAAAAGGTTGGGTGCGAGAGGAGCGGAAACCGCCTTGGGAAAGGACTAGGCCACAAACTTACCACCGCCTTGAAATAGGTCTTGAAGAAGTACGTCTTCTGCAATCCCTGGCCCTCCGCATCCAGCGTCCACCCTTGCTCCGGCTGCAGCAGCGCGGTCAGGCGCGGCCGGAGCTCTTCCGCGTCGACGCCCTCGGCGAATTGCGGTTCAATGGCCGCGGAGTTCGCGGAAGCGGACATGCTGGAGGAGAAGGCGCGCGTCGTAGTGGATGGGGGGAATGTCGAGTGATTTTGTGTCAGGTAGCTGCTGGTGGGGGTGCTCCGAGTGAGGGGTGTAGTTCGGAGAGGACGGGCTGGGGGAATAGTGGAGGAGGCAGAAGAAGAAACAGAAGAGTAGAAGCGGAAGGTAGATGGGCGAGCGAAATGGCTCCTTTGTAGGCGAGAGAGGAGTACGCAAGGCCGTGGGCTTGCCTTGATGATGTGGTCCATGCTAGATGGGATGGGCCAGAAAGAGGGTGTCTACCAGAATTGCGGTCGGGGATGCGCGCTGCGGCGGCGGCGTTTGCGCGGGTGGAGGTGAGAAGCTTCGGCCATCCGCGCGAGGCACGTGACCCGTCTCCGGGGCGCGGCGGGCGGGTCGATCTCCCGCCGCGCTGAAGAGGAATGACGGGGCCAGCCAGCCAGCCAGCCAGCCAGCCAGTTAGCCAGTTAGCCGACCAACCAACCGTAATCACCAGCCTTCGAGATGACAAGGTCCATGGCCTAATCCTACCTTACTTACTTGTCTAGAAGAAGACAAGTCTACTATAAATAGGACAGAGGCTGATTACGAACAGTGGGATCCTGGTCATGACACTCAACTTGTGATTCAGGAAAGCTATTTAACCCTCTATGGAGGAAATCTCATTGCAATTATGATGACAGCCCTGACAACTTGAGACTGGCTAGTGGGATTGTAGTTTAAAGAGCAATAGGACCGGTACTCAGCCTAGGCCCGGAAGCAGAAACCAAACAGTGAAGAATTGTCGAGCTGGGCCCCGCCGAAGCTACCAGCCTGCCCATATCAGCTCCATCCAGTAGGAAACGGAAGAATGAAGATAGAACAATTGGATGATATCTAGACTATCTAGAGTAGCAAAGTCCAACTCAGTGGATCAAGATCCTGGAAGGATAAACAGATCGAACGGTACAAGGCTAAATCGAGAGTCAAGACACACAAAACAGGATGGATGAAGCCCTTCGCCACAGAAAGGGGGTATCAACGCTCGTTAATCATTTCACTAATATCATAGGGAAAAAATGGTTCCTCGTCGCACGCCCAAGCCTACCGCGAGAAACTGTTCTTGCGTGACTGGACTCGAGAGTTGACCCCAGAGGCTGGACGAGAAGCCACATAGCTATTGGCCCGGCTACCAAGAGTCTGACGGATGCGCAGATTCTGCTGAGACCGAGCGAAGGAGTTCGCACGCGACCCAGAGGGTATCCGAGAAAGTCTTCGACCATGGGTTTGGAGTTCAACTCGGGCATCGGACAATTGCTGGGCGAAAGGCGACCGCTTGCGAAGAACAGGCCCATACCAGTAAATGACATAGACCGCAACGACAAGCAAAAACGAAATGCAGAACAAAATCGTGGAAGCATATTCAAGATGGTACTTTCCACCGATATCTATACAACAATTGATTAGAACGACGTATCACAGACCATCGGATAGAGAAACTTACTTTGGAAGAAGGGTGTAGCAGGGATAGTAAGAACACCGGCCAAGAAGTCACGCGCCCATCCATTACCTCCGGTCGCAGAAGCCGAGTAAGGTCCGTAGGCACAGATCATGTAGTCAATGGTAGCCATATAGATACTGTAGTTGGCGATACCAACGATAGCGGAGAAAACCATGGTCCCGATCCAGTGGACAGGGGGGCCAAGACTGGTCCAAGCAAAGCCAATCAGTCCAATCGGCAAGCAGGGTGCGGTATAGAGCAGCCACCAAAGTCGAGATTCGTATTGAGCACGTTCATCGTCGGGCTTGTTCTGGCGCTCTTTGATGTTCCGTTTGATGACAGGAATGAATGAGAACCACGCAATGAAATATCCAACCAGAATTGGAAGGAAGGACAGGCCGAGGGCCACAGTGCTAAAGTTCCACTGATCGTAGACGAGGCTGAATGACTGAATGAACATGAAGATCAGTGCATCACTGAATCCACTCAGAAGAGAGAGGGTGAGGACAATTGGCTCAGTCAAGAACATCTTGAAAGGGCGGACCCAGGTATGTAGAACCTCGCTCATCGAGAAACGTTCCTTGAAAGGAACAAGTTCGTTGGGACCATAGATGTTAGGGTCTTCGCCGCTCTCTCTTCTCTTCTTGGCAATTCGATCCATCATGATTGTGGTTCGAGTTTCAGGCACGAGAAGGAAATGCGCCACCTGGACGAATCCTCCGAAGATAAGTTGGATCCAGATGTTCCAGCGCCAGGGCAAGTACGCTTCAACGAATCCACCTACAACGGGCCCAATCACAGAGCCGCCGACGGATGAAAACACAACACAGGCGACGGCATATTGCTGGTCATCAGCCTCCCAGAGGTCAGCGATCATACCCAAAGTGACCGAACCACCGGCTGAACTGAGGCCTCCCAGGGCACGTCCGACCATAATCGACGCGAAGTTGGGTGCGAGGGCCACGGGCAATTGCCAAATGTTAACCAAGAACAGACTCAGTTGTAGAATCGGTTTGCGGCCAAGTTCCTCACTCCAGGGAGCCCACAGTTCACAGCCGAAAGCATATAAAACCAGGAAGATCATTGCACCACAACGGGCAGCCTGCATGCTGACACCAAATTCTTCTGAGATGCCGCCCAAAGCGTTCGAGTAGAGACTGGTATTGAAGTTCATAGATGTCTGGACAAGGAAGATGACGGTGATAATCATCCACTTCCGCCATGCCGGGAATGAGTAGCCCAGCTCATCGTAACAGTCGTCTTCGGTAAGTTCAATCTTATCGTACGGTCCTTCCTCATGATGTTGTAGAGTAGCCCCCGAGTCACGGTTGGCCGCCAACTCGGGCTTCTGCTCTGTCAAGGCCTTTTCAGTTGCTGGATCCAGGACAACATCGTTGTGGGTCGAAGAGGAAGCCTCCGAGCTATGGTATTTTTCGTTATCGCTTAGATTGCGTCGGTCAAGTTCTCCTCCCATGGCGGCCTGTAAAAAGTGTCTTTTAGTATATAGAACACGAATTTAAGGATGAAGAATGCGAAACAAATTGCAAGCCAAAGTCGATGGATCACAGCCCGAACCAAGCGGCAAGGACTTGAAATGCAGTACCGAACCAAGCGGCAGAGGCGTGAAAGATAGTACCGAAACAAGCGGTAGGGACACAAAAGGTAGTATACAATCCGAGTAACGCAGTCCCAGGCACGCAAAAAGTGGTATACCAGACGGTGGTAAATTCCAGGGACAAACTCAGCGAATGCAATGACAACGAGAATAGGAAGAAGCAGGAAGCAAATGAAAACGCGAAGAGGGAAGGCTATAGCTTTTTCTAGCATTGAACGTAACAAACAGGCAAGCAAGAACTAATGGTATTGTGGTGAAAGATATGGGTTAAATGGATGGTGAAACTTACAAGGTGAGTCAATCCACCTGGTGAATTGAATAGAAGATGCACAAAGACAAAGCGACTAAGCAATTACTTCAGGAAGGAAGGATGGGGACGTGCGAATTGCAGCTGCAATGAGGAAGCAAGAGCTGAGCCCCAGTAATCGTATCAATCAGAAGGCGGGTGAGAGGCAGAGGATGAAAGACAAGAGAAGAAGAAGATTTGGGAAGGAGGAAGAGAAGAAGATGAAAAAGAAGGTGAATCTTAGGACAGTAATCCCAATAGAGAAGGAGGGCGCAGTTGCAGTACTAACTGCAGTGAGTACCGCAATAGAAAAGTACTGCAATAGTGTAGACGTGCTTCTTCCGGCAAACAATCCCAAACAGGCAATTAGAAGTATGATTGCAACAACAGATCCGGTGGATCACACAAGCATCGAGTTCATCCATGCAAAATTAGGAGGGAAACCTGTTGCTTTAATAATAATGCACCGAGCCTCCCCTCCAGTGCCAGTGGAGCTGAAGAATAATGCCAGTGGTTAAAGTTCAGGCTGCCCAGGTATCTCCGACGAGGGCCACGAGCAGAAAGTGGAAAATGGATCCATGCAAGTTGAACTTCACCACTATTTCTTCCGCCCCCTTCAACACTACCGTACCCTATTGTGGCTTGGACTTCAGTCACACTCTTTTCTTTCTTGAGATGCCATCCAGATCTTATTTTTTTTTTTCATTCTTCTTCATGTCATTCACTAATTGCCTCCCATCGTTGTACCAGAAATGCAGTATCCCCCTCGTGGGCGGCCAGCGGACGGGGCACGTTGATGCAGCAGCGGGTTGCCAGATCAGGATGCAGGCTATACTCGAGTACTACCTCATTCAGACCACACGCAGAGAGTTCCACTTGCCACGCTACCTGAATCGAGTCAAGCAGCCAGTCATTTCTACTCGATCCCTGGGCCGGATGGATCCGTCGCTCACATCATTACCCAAAACCGTCGTCTGACCTGGGAGGCAAACGGGCAAAAGCCCCGGAAGAAAAGGAACCTGCAAGAAGAGTGGTCGGGGAGAAGAAAGAATACATTGAACCCCCACTCCAGGGTCGGTGTTACTACGCTTGGATACCACTAAGGCACTAACACACACCATGACCGCCGCCGGAGTCGTTCTGGCCCGAAAGAAATCTCGACTTCAGGAATGCCCGCTTCGGGAAAGCCTACCACGGCACGAGAGTCGCGTGAGGCCGAAGCCAATAATGAGTGCGGTCCCTTCTTATCGGGACTGTACAGATGGCCACGGTCGAGGCTTTCAATAAGGCTCACGCAAAGGCGTGTGCGACGCAAGGGTTAGGGGATACCAAGTGGCCAGGAGCAGTAGTACGGTATGCGCTTTCCCGGGCGATCGATTGTATGAGAGGCCCAACGCTCGGTCAACATTACGGCCATGATACTGCCAAGAAACTCATCAACAAAGCACAGGTATAAAGTGCTAGATGAATGATTCATGGAAAGGAGACTGACTATGATGATGATGATGATGATTATGATGGAAGTGGTGGTAACTAACGTTAGTAGTGGTGGGATGATTTTCCCCAATTCTTGATTTTTCTTTTAACTGCTGACTAGCGCGGGTGGGTTGGCCTCTGGGTTCGGTCGGTTTCCCACGGGGTTGTTGGCTCGGGGTAGCCGTGCGTGACGTCAACTGCGCCAGTTCCACGCCGATCGTTTCCCCGACTTCTCAACGCTCAGATTATATTGAGTATTTTCCTCGAGGATCGACCCTCCCCTCCATGACATTTGCCTGTCAATGTCATGATTGTTATTCAGCCTGATTTTGATTCCAGAAAATCGCGTCGAATCCTGTCAGTGCTTCAGGGGCATCCCTGCTTCACAACATGGGCATGCGCATGCCGCCAACGCCTCTTGGACATCTCGCGATCTTCACCCCGGACTGAATCTCAGCCACCGATGACCAAGTTCTCTGGGACGAAAATTGACCTTCGGCACATTAGACTTAGCGCAATACTACGTACACGTATACTACACTAGGATGAAGAGGACCACTTGGTTAATCATTCCTCCCTGACCGACTGCGCTAGTCTTGCAAAGACTCTTCGCAGTCAGCAGTCGGTCATCCAGTAGAGAAACAATTTTGTCGGCCTTCGACTTGTAAGGTGGTGTTGGTGGCGTGTAGCAGACAAAACACTATCACGGGATTAAGTTCGAATGAAGCCCGACAAAGAATCATCAGCAGTCTACGGTAGTAACGTCGTAGCACGGTCATTGAGAACCCAGGGAAAATGATGAGAGTGAACCACCACTAACGCCAATTACCCCCAAGAGTCGGTTAGTGCCGACAGCCACTGTCCGGTGGTTGAGCTAAGGCTCGAAGCCAAGACGATGTGGCGGACAATCCCCTGGCTTAGGTGATTTTTTTTTTCGGTCCAGGAGCGGCCGGGCCTCTTCTCGACTTTATGCAGACTGCAACCGACCGCAGAATTTTGCAATGTCTCAGTAGTCGGGATGTCGAGTCTAGACATTCCTCGGTAGACAGGTAGACCGGAGAGAATGTTCGGTTGAATGCATGTGTGAGATACCCTGAGAACAACAAAGACAAGTGAGAAAAGGAGGCGAGACCGAACGATGGGCGTGCCGGGAAGTTCGGGAGATGGCCGAATGTCTGTTTCCAGCACCGGCAATCTGTTTGCGGATGGAAGCTGAGTGAACCGGGCGGGAGCGTCAGAGGAGCGTCAAAAGTTGTGCTCCCTCACCGCCTGCCATTTCCACTCAATCCCCGCGAAAAGTTGGGTTCCCGCTATTTCCCGGTCATTTGCCCTTCCCCATGAAATCCACCAATTCCACCAATTCCACCAAATCAACACAAACAATCCTCCATATCCGCCGAGCTTGTTTCACCCCCTGCTTATCCTTTCTATCAATTTACGGTCCTCGATTATTGGGATTGAGTCTCCAATTCTTGGAAACGAGGTTTTCCACTTCTTGACCCCGCTCCGTCATATGATCACAAGCCAGACAGACGGTGATGTGTCCTGATATCAATTCTCTGCCTGCTTCCCCATCGCCTCATACCCATACCCGTACTTCCTCTTCCCCGCATCGCCAACGGGCTGTGTACGACCCCTTGCATCTGCAAAATTCTCCGTCGGGTTTCTCCTTTCTCAGCCTGGCCACCATGAATAATAGTCCTAACAGCCACTTGGGCGATCCCAATCACGCCGTTGCCACTGACCTGCCTCATCGGCCTGCTCCGATTTCCAGTACTCGTTCGGGAATCGCAGGTCCGGAACGACGCAGGTCCGCCGCCGGGTCCAACTCAATTTTGAACAGCAACAACAACAGCAGCAGCAACAGGAATGGCAACGCTAGTGAGTCGGTGTCGGGCGAATCCCCGCTTGCCCCTCACGACCATCGCTCCTCGTTGAGCCACAATGCACTGCGTACCTCTAGTTCCTCCAGTCTCGGGGGTAGTCCAATCATCGCCTTGGGGGACCCGCATCACCAGCGCGCGCCCTCGTTGGGGGAACTCCATCAGGAATTAGAACAGGAGCAGGAAGCACAGGTGGTATGATTGCGAATTCTTCCCTCTCATTATTTGCTGAACGTACTGACTGGTATGGCTCGATCAAGAATCGACTGCTGCAGATGATCCGCAGCCAGCAGACTCAATTGCACCAACTCCAGCAACAGCACCAGCTGTCGCACCCGTCGTCCGGCACGGCAGTGGTCGACGACGCTGCCGTCCCCTTTCCCCCGGTTCCTCCGCACCCCGCCTCCGGTAGTCGGGCATCGACCCAATTAGCGTCCTCTCTGTCGAGTCGGCGCCCCTCCCGGCCCTCCAGTCAAGCCGGCTCACCCAGCCTGCGTCCCCACGCTGATTCGTCACGCGGCCCGGAGGGACTGGAGTGGGTTGGAGGCATCGGGGAGAGCCCTGTCCGGCGGGGAAGCAGGGATGAAAGTGCATTCTACCAGGCTGAGGCGGCTATGCTGACCCGGGAGAATCAGATGCTGCGACAGCGCATTCGCGAGCTGGGTAAGTGTATATCCATCCAGTGTCAGCCCATGGAGCCGAGAAGTGTCACTCCAGTCTACGTGCGTTCATCTGCAAATGACCAAATTCTAATTCACCATGCACAGAACGCCAAGTCAGCGAGCTCACTGTTGGTGCCCAACCACTTCAACGTTCTGCACTCTCTGGCAGCCAGGACACCGACAATGCCGGCGTCCAGGAACCCGCGGGACGAGGATCGGCAAGCGACTTGTCGGACAAGACATGACTGACTTTGGGCCACATGGGAACACATTCTGCCTCCTTCTCCTCCTGGCATAAAGTTTAAGGATGACCCTCCAGATCGGCGGTGATCGGCACATTCTTCTGATCTTTACCGGACGGCACTGACAACGATAACTACCCGATTAGCCGACCAGCGCCGCGGAGCAGAAAATGGTATAAAGTGTCTATTCACCCGGTCCGATCATTCAATACATACCCCTTCTCTCTTTCCTACGCGGTGGATACCAACTCGCCAAGCGTTTCCCTTCTTTTTCTCTTCATGCATTGTACATAAGTACACCTAATGACCTAATGTACACAGCGAATCCCGGCGTTGAATGATAATGAAGCCAGTCACTGGCCTGTGGGTTGTTTCTTGCCATTGAAAGATCTAGACCTGGCCTTTTGTTCTTCAGTTCACACCCTCCCATGTCAAGAACATACGGGGCCCCCTCACCGCCCAAACACAGGGCCATTAAGCTTTGCCGCCGTGCCGCCAGCGATACCAGTGCAATCTAACTCACCCTTACATATAGCACAACCGCCGCCCAACCAACCGAACTCCATCTTCGCTTGCCTTCTGATCCCTCAAATCCACTCCGCCACGCAGTAGCACCATACAACACAGCCATCTCGCAATAATCCAGACCCAGCTCCTGCAGAACATCCTCAAGTGTGAAGCGCAGACACGTAGAGTTACCACAAGAACCCAGACCCCGATCTTTACCCAGCAAACCACCACACGACACCTCTCCCCCTCCAAAAGAAAAAGACCGAGCTAAACACACAAAGCCTCTCTACTCCAAGCTTATTGCCTGTCCAATTTGTCCAATTAAACACATCCTCTGATCCAGTCGGTCAAGGCGGAAGTCTCAGCCTTCTGCAGTAGACGACTCAGTCCTGAATCCTGCTCAGTCCGAACGATATCCCCTTTCTCACCGTTCCTGACCTTCTAGGTGGCCTGGGTCCCTTTTTTCCTTAAGTTCGTGTCTGTGGTGATACGTCTTTTTTTTTTTTTTTTTACGGTGGTCGTTATCTTGGTGTTGGAGGTAGATGCGGAGGTTAATGGATCTGTTGGCCTATGGCTGGATTTATCTTGTACGGGGATGGGGATTAGGTATTGTATACGCTCTGCCTGTGTTGGATGGATGGATGGGTTGAGATATGACGAGCTCGAGCGGGTGGGGACGAACTGGGCTCTGCAGTGGGTTGTATTACCTACCTATTACGGGGCGGAATATTGGACACTGCGGAGAGTAAAGTTGGTGTGGTGGTGCTTGTAAATCAGAGGGTGTAAGGATAGACCGTGGACGGACGGACGCGGAGCCGGATGTTGGGGTTTTCTAGGATGACCGTCTCGAACCTGACTGGAATCTTCTTCTCAAAGGACCTTTGCCGAGCTTACATCCTATCGTATTACTACGATGCAGTGTGGTGAGATGTACAGAACGATGTCGTTGCACAACATAAACTATGAGTTATTCTTGCTCGTCGGTCGTTATATTTATGTACTGTAGTAATGTTGCAGTCCCGCATATACATCCAGCCTCCCCTCTTCTCCTATCATACTTACAATACTGCAGCTCAAGCAGTATACCCACCCCGCTGCTGCAGACTCCCAATCCTCCCCAGCAGGAACTCCACCTGCCGATACGCAGCGCCAGGGACATACTGCGGGATTTCTACCGACACAGCATTTACATGTTAGCGCAATCCATCCTTCTGTTGAACTTCGAACAGCAAAAGAGCAAACTGAAGGGAAAACGTACCATGACCCGACAAATACACCGACGAAAACGTCAGCCCGCGCTCCGTGTACGCTGTCCCCAGGTACCCCGCCCCGGCGTCCAGATTATAGGGGTCCGGCTCGGTGCCATCATACAATTCCTGCAGTCCGTAATGATAGGGCACGAACAGCGGCTGCGTGAGCGGGTCGCGCTGGAACCCCTGCGCCCCGTTCCAGGTCATGTTCTGGATGGTGGCGAGGGTGCCGTTCAGGATCAGCAGATAATCGAGCCACCCCTGGCCGATGAGGGTGTTGTTGGTGCGCTCGATGACCCCCGGGAGCACGGTCCACGAGCTGGGCGGCGAGGCGTCGCCCTCCGCGAAGATGGTGTTGCTGCCGCAGACGGAGTAGTCGGTGGCCGGCACGTGGAGGGCGCGCTGGACGTCCGTGCGGTTGAAGTAGTTGTTCGGTCCGTAGCCCAGGGACGGGAAGCCCATCACGTCCCAGAGGTAGGGGCAGAAGTCGGTCAAGTGGTAGAAATTGAAGCAGGGGTTGACGTCGTAGGCGGCGCCGACGATCTCGTCCCAGACTAAACAGTCGTCGGTGATGTTGGGGAGCGGCGGGAATGGGTGGACTGGCGGGTATTGGATCGCGGCGTCGAGGAAGGCGTTGTAGCCGCATTCGTCGGCGCGGCGGTTGATGTAGCTTAGGAAGGTGTTGTTCAGGGCGAAGACGTTGGTGTAGTGGTTTAGATGCCGGGCTGCGGGGGCTGGAGGGGGACTTAGTATCTTTTATGGATGGGATGGGATTGATTTGGGCTTGCGAGGGGGGTGTACCGTAGATCATGACGGAATCATCGTTGATTGAAGGGTCGTTAATTTGAACGCCCTTCACGTTGAAGTAGATCTCATTCTCTTCGTCGAGCATCGCGGACGCAATGTACGGGATGTACATGCCCGCGTAGCTCTCGCCGGTGAGGTAGACCTTCCGGCCGTGCAAACCAAAAGTGTCGACGAAGTGCTTGAACCAGCTCTTGAACTGGGCGGCCACGTCCTCTTCGTTGTTGACCGTCGACGGTCCGGGCGAGAAGCCCGTGCCCGCGGGCTGGTCGACGTACACCACGTTCGTGAGGTTGGTCCAGGAGTACGGGTTGGGCACGGGCTTGTAGGTGCCAGATTGCCACAGGAAAGGGCCGTTCTCCTGCAGGAGTCCGTCCAGAGAGCTGCAGCCTGGACCACCGTTTAACCAGATGAGAATCTAGCTTGTTAGCCCACAAACACCATTCAGGCAACATAGGGAACTGCAAACCTCGTCGCTGGCGTTGACATTCTGCGAAGGGAAAAACCAGAAGAAGAGACTGCTGTTGCCCGTCGGAGCGTTCGGTAGCAGTCCAGCGTAAGATTCGCCCACGTCGAAGTCGACCTCAGGGATGCCGGTGCCGTTGACCAGGAACCCTAGCTTTCGTGAGCAAGACATACCAAGATAGCTAGTTCGAACAGGAGGTTACACTCACGTGCGGTCTTGTTAGTCAGGTACGAGTAATCCCTGATACTGCTGGCGGGAGTCGACGCAGACCGGGGAGCCAATGCTTTGCGCTGAGAGGCAGACGCAGCGCGACGGTGGGGATTCTGCAGGCTGGCGACAGAGCCCACCAGCAGCAGTGACGCAAGGGCCGTGGTCCAACGCATCTTGAGATCGGCTATGGGGTGATGATTGACTGCAGACCAAGCCCTCGATCATCGGCCTACTTATAGGTCTGCGTGGAGACTGTGAGGGGACACACTCTGAGCAACCTCGTAGCCGTTGGCCCCACGTCATGGTCTGAGCATTCATCGCTTGCCGAGAAGAAAGCTGGTTTTGGCGTCCGAGACAAGCTCATATACACAATGAGGGGGCCGTCGGAGCCCCGACTGAGGTGTCAAGATTGTGGATCGCAACCGATATGCGCGGAGTGGTTTAGTGTGCCGTTTGCAAAGGCACTGGCAAATCACAGTCTAGGAGCCATTGGACCCACGAGTAAGCGCAGGACGATAGCATTCTTCGATAACTGTAGTGATTCGATGAGGGGAAGAGATCGGCGGGCGGATGAAGGATTCTGCCATCGAGCAATTGATGAGGTGCTGTTTTCAGCTCATCTCATCCCATTTCATCTCAACTTATGTCTTCTTGGGTGCATGCAGAGGATGTACTTCGGAAAATTCGCTGCAAGGATCACAGCACCAATGCACCAGCAATGGAAACCTTATCGCTACAACTGCTGAATTGACACCTCCTGGCACTAGTCTTAATGGAGACCAGGCCCTGGACCATCTCCGATGCAGTCCGGTTAAAAACCTCGACGCGGCGATTTCTGGCCGTTTCACGGTGGACTGACCGGGTGTACCACGACTTGCGTCTTCCTTTCATGTTTCTGTAATATATTGTCTGTTAGCTAGATCAGACACCCAACGGTCCTGCCCTCATTTCCATGTGCGAAGTCGAGACCATCTTAACCATCGATCAGAAACTACTGGCGACAGCCGCAGATCGGAGCGGCACGGGATGGTTTATCAAGATTGGCATGTCGCTGATGATACACAAGAACATTATGGTCGCTGCAGTTGTCAGCACTACTTAACAAAACCGAGTTATTTCATCGGGAGGTAACTTGGGGGCAGCTTTCAATGCTATTCGAAAACTCGTAACCTGGCAGTGAATAATTCGAGCAACACCCCAGTGGGAGCAAACCAGAAAGTTCACACTGGGCAATGGGGTGTTCTCTGACTGGGTCGGGCGGAAAATCCATTGGATTGGATTTCCGCTGGCTTCATCCTCTGGACCATGTTTCTACCAGCCTTAGTCGAGGCACGAACCGCAAAATGAGTTCCGTCGGACCAGATCAGCGGGGAGTATGCCTAGTAGGACAACACAGGAGCCGTTATGCTGTTGCAGCCCATGCACTTTCTGAGTTCTAATCGATCCGTTTCTGGGGCTATCGTAGAGGCACTTTCGAGACAAATGGCTGTCGGCGAGTAGCCAGGCGGAGATCACGAGGCGTGGCGTAGACGTGCACGATCCTAGGCAACGCCAAGTCACAATCTAATGCTCAAAGCTTGGAGCCAAGCGGGGCCGCGGTGACAGATCCGAAAGGAGGCGTGGGATTGATACGAGTAGGCACGGGGATCGGCGAGAAGTCACGTCGCGCTCTCTGGGTATTGTACGGAGCTACTTAGTACAGCTGAGTACTTCGTACTCCGTAGTTTTGGCGCCATCGTGGCTTGAGAGGCGTTGATTTGACGGGACGGTCACAGGAGCATTGATTGGTGGAGTTCAGCGGACAATGCGCACACTATTCCAACCATTGTCGCAACTTAGGGAGCTTGAGCTTTGCGGGAGATGAGGTGAGGCGGATTGATGTGTACGGAGTACGGAGATGCTGTGCTGTACTCCGTAAGAGACCCGCCAAGGGGTGTCTTGGTGGAATCCCGCACCAATAAATATCCTCATTCCTTCTTCTCCTTCCACTCTCCATCCTGGTCGCATCCATGTGTACTGGCTCATTCCTTGTCCACTTTATACTCTCCGCTTTCAAGATTGAATTTTGAGTGCCAAGCCCATGGGCAATTGATCGATTACTTCTTTCACCTCACCGACAACTGCGTGCTGATCTCCTTGGAAGGCTTGAAGATGTGAAATCATCCCATCCGGCAATTGCGTGCTCTGGAGCCATTCACTCTCCGCCTATGTCTCCTCTCTCCCCCTTCTTCACCCCCCCCCCCCCCCCCCCACATAAATGATCAGCCGATTTGTTGATTTCCTTCCTCTGTAACAGCTTAACTACTTATTTATCCTCGTGCCTGCAGTTGCGTCGCACAGGACCATGGCCCTTTCTTTGTCCGGTGCTTCCCTCGTGCCACCCATTGGCCCCTTTTAAGTTATCGACTCGATCTCTATATCTTCCCCACCGCAACCTCGGTCTACGGAATTTCTCAATTCAAGCAGACAATCTTCGCTCAGTCAGATAGTCGTTGCTCAGACCTACCATACATGTACTGTACAAATCCTGATCGTTGCACGCCTTTCTTACTCATGGCTGCCTCGACTCACGGTCGCCCCGCCGATGATGGCACGCAGCCCCTCCTAGAGGCGCAGGAATATAACTCTTACTCCTGGGTGCTGCTCGAAGATCACCCACTCCGCTCTCATCCGACTGAATGCTGTCCAGGAATCTGGTGGATGTTTCAGCAGTGGTATGCCACCTTTCGGAAGCTCTGGGGCGATCGCATCTTTTCAATCATCTGCTTGCTGTTGATGTTTGGGTATGTCTCCATTCACCTGGTCCTTGACTCAGACCTACAACAATCGCACCGAATGTTACTGACTGAGTAACGTCCAGGGTGATGGTGCAATTCTTATCTTTCCTGCCCGATGGCTTGTCTTATCTATTTTTCCGGCAGCACTACACAGCCCAGGCAGGGTTTCTTCATTGGCCTGCAGAGTTTGATGGGCAACCCGCTGCCTGTATTGCCTACAATCCACGATCGCATCCGGACGCCATTCAGTATGTCATCGCGGCGGGCTGTACGGGGATCAAAGCGGACATCTGGCTCCAGGATGAGGAGCTCTATGTCGGAACCTCCAACGCCAGTCTGAGACCGCATCTCACCCTGCGCAATGTGTACCTTGGCCCTCTCTTGCAGCATCTTGACGCAGAAAAGTCTCCAGAGGGCTCTGTACAGTCTATCGCGACGAGCCATCACGGAACTGCAACGGACGAGCAGTTTGTTCTATTCTTGGAATTTCGATCGCCGATTCGGGATGGCTGGCCACGTCTTCTCGCTGAGCTGCAAACCTTGAACGAACGAGGGTATCTTACCCATCGCAACGACACTAAGATTGTTCACAAGGCTGTCACGATCGTCATCGTGGGTGACGAGAGCGTCGACCCTGCTCACGAAGAGTACCAGCAAGATTTCAACCACGACAGTATCTTTGTCGATGACCAATTGTTCGCGAAAAGATCCAAGTCATCGTCTAGGCTTCAAGGAAATAAAGCCCAAACATTCAAAAGCAAAGGAAGTCAATCTCGACCGTCTTGGCAAGAGGGGAAGAATTCGACCTCGAAAGAGGTACAGCAGAATGTGCGATCGGTTTTCACCACGACCGTGAGCTTCAGTGCGGAGGTTGGATCTCCTCATCGAGGACGATTTTCTCGACAACAACTCGATTTGATCCGGGCCCACGTGGAGCAAGCCCACAAACGCGGGCTAAAGGCGCGATTTGGAGACATCCCGTGTGGCTCGCAGAGGATGCAACATTTGATTTGGAGAGTCTTGGTCAAGGCCGGCGCAGACCTCATTGATGTAGACTGGACCGGCTGTCATCGTCAAGCATGGCGGCAGTTCTTTACGACAGGGCTGGCTTAGGAAGATATAATCACGATCCTCTCTTGGGCCCTAGTTGATAGTAATGACAAGCTCTGTATATATTGATAATGGAGATGTCTAGTGCAAGGGTTGATAAGTGCTCGGGGCCGGTTTCCACCTCGGCCGACAAATTGAATACTAAAGGTTATCTATGACTGGTGCACGGATCGTTGGTCGTCGATTCCAACCAGTCCGTGACACCAGTGCAACCCAGTCAAAAAGAAGGAAAGAAGAACCAGGCAAAGCAGAGCAGAGCACTGTGGCTAGCAGGATGGCTCTTCAATCCTGCAACCGGACCGACGCAAGGGGAGAGCTCGCCTCCCCCCCTCTACTCTGCTCTCTGCTGTGTAGCGATGAATGTGGCAAGCGGGCCAGCCTAGGTGTCCCATCAAACAACCCGATCGATCGTCTCAGAACATCAGCTGCATTGTTTGGAGAATCATACCTCAAAATACTGCCATCCTATTATGTTCAGGTATCAACGAAAACAACACTCAACCCGAGGGCACTATGTGGAAGTTGTACAATACTGCACTGTAATCAATCAAGTAAGCAGGATTGTACTTTACTGTACTCCGTAGCAGGGGGCGATCCCCCAGAAAATTCATTCCATGGAAGGGGGTCCTGGGATCGGCAGATTGTCACGCACTGCAAGTGGATACGTTACATACTTGGGGCCGAAGCAGGCTGCGGGCGGGAGGCAGACGGGCGCCTATTGTTGGATATCAGATTCAATCCTTGTCCGTCTTGACTCTCTTCTCCGGATTGATGGTTGTACTGTCCATGGAATAACAATGCTCTACATTCAGTGCAATCATAATACTTTCCCATGTGTCTTGACTGGTAGAGGAGGTTCCATCATTGGCAGGACGCATGACACGTCGTTGGCTGCATGGTCGACTAAGACCCAAGATATATTGGGCATTGGCGAGGGAGGGGAAGAGAGGAGAGGGGTAGATAGTAAGTTAGTGGTAGTCGTTCACCTACCTGGTAGTAGCAGCAGCAGCAGCTCTATAACTAGGTGTTTGTAGTCCGGTTGGTGCCTTATTCTTCCTTTTTGTTTACTTTATTGCTTTTCCAATTTTCTTCCTTTTTTTACCTTTCTTTCTTTTTTTTTTTTTT